GGCAGCCCTGGGTCAAACGGGGAATCCTTTCTTATTTTTCTCATCAGAGGAGCAACCTTCCCTCACTAGGGTAGGGAAGGAGCACTCCACGTGGGCCAGCTGCCTCAGGAAGACAGGGACAATGGAGCCTCTGGCCCAGGTGATGCCTGTGATGACCCCAGCGTGGTACCCAGGGAAGCTGACAGGGGTTATCTAGTGTGGGGAGACAGGGCACGGTCTCCCCCGCCTGTGCCTCTTCCAGGGAAGCCTGGGGCAGCCCCAGCGCCTCACTCTCCAGGCCGTGAGGCCTCAGGACCTGTGCTGTGAGACCTGAACGCAATCCTGCTGGAGAGCAGGGCAGAGCCTGGCACGTACTATCACTTTTGTTGCCTCTGTGTCTGCAGATAAGGCACTTCCCGTTTCCAATCCTCAGTTTCACCGTTCATGAAAGGGGATAGTACTGCCATCTTTAGCTACCTCTTCAAAAAAACTCAAAAAACCAAACCCGTTGCCATCAAGTCGATTCCAATTCATAGTGACCCTACAGGAACTCCCCCATAGGGTTTCCAAAGAGCAGCTGGTGGGTTCGAACTGCTGACTTTTTGGCTAGTAGCCACAGCTCTTAAGCACTGCGCCACCAGGTCTACCTCTTAAATTACTGCTAAACACAGTGGTCTGTGGTGAAGAATAAAGCATGCTTGTACATTCTCACGCACATGGGGCTGCTATCACCCAGCAAAGTCTGGGTGCCATGGAATCTTCTAATGCTGCCCAGGAAAAAACGAGAGGGGAGGTTTTTAACAAGCCCTGGGATCATATCAAATGGACTCCATTAGTTTTCTCTTAGATGTCAGTTACTTCTCAACACTTTTTTTTTTTTTTACATCCAGGTGGCAGTAGGTGAGAGTGAGGGGAAGGGAAGGTGGGTTTGGTGTTCATAGTGGCTACTGGGGGCTGTGACCCTCCTCTGTGCCGTCACCAAAGCAGAACTCTGCACATGTAGCCCCCAGCACAGCGGTTATCATCCCCATTTCTCAGATGCAGAAACTGAGGCCTGCCCCAGGTCACACAACTGGCAAAGAGCAGAACAAGGGCCAGGATGGGGGAGTGCAGAGCTCTTCTCAGCCCTAGAAGGGTGGAGGTCCCAGGGGACACCCAGAACCTCTGCTGTGGCTGCCCTCTTGTGCCCCAAGATGGCTGGGTGATACTGTGAGTCACTGAGGGCCACCCCACCTCCATCTAAAGGCTCCCCACCAAATTCAATACAGTACCTGGCAATGAACATACCTGCAGGTCTTCAAGGATTCAGTAGGGGTGGCAGGCTCTGGGCTCAGCCTTCTGAAGGGAAACGATCCCACCACGGAACTGAGGCTCGGGGTACATACCATGACAGCTATGGCTTGGGGGCCCTGAATGCCTCCAGGTGGTTGCAAATGCCATGTGACCAGGGTTCCGTGCATGCCAGTCAACCTGTGCTATGTGACCTACACCAGTGGTTAGCAAACTGCGGCCCCAGGGCCAAATGTGGCCCACTGCCTGTTTTGCTAAATAAAATTTGATTGGAACACAGCCTCATACAACAGAGGCTGTATAGCCTGTAACGCTGAAAATATTTACTATTCAGCCCGTATTTGGCCTTTTAGAGAAAATGTTTGCTGACTCCTGATCTACCGGGACCCACCCGGTGAGCCACTTGGGGCTCTGTCCGGGTGGAACGTGTCCTCTCCTCTCCTGAACTCGAGACACAGCCTTTGGGATCTGCAGAGAGACATTCGGTGCCCCAACCTAGGAACCCTAGAAAGATGGAGCTGAGAGGGGTGCCTTGGTCCACCTTCCCCTTGGGTTACATGTAGGGGCACTGTTTACCAGAGAGGGACACAGTACCTGGTCCAAGGTCACAGAGGAAGTCAGGATCAAAGGGCTAGCCCCACCCTTCAGCTTCCCCTGACAGGCAGGGCTGGGTCATAGGGCCGATTTATCATTCATTCCTCCTTCCCTGCAGGGACCCCAGCCCCAATCAGGCCCACCCTGCCTCCAAGCCTGCCTGCCTGCACTTTCCAAATACTTACTGAAGTCCTACCATGCACCAAGCGCTGTTCTAGGTACTGGGGCTACAGCAGGGAGCTAGCGACCAGGCCCTTTGGCCCTTTGGAATGCACTTCCTGCGGGGGAGACAGACTGGTTTGTAGGTCAACAAGGTGACTTCTGACAGTGACTGCTCAGTGTCAGGAGGAAAACAAACAGGTTCATGTGGCCGGTGGGAGTGGGGCGGGGGAGGGAGTCAGGGAAGGCCTTGGTAAGCCTTAGACCAAGGCTGGGCACCCTGAAGGAGCCGGCTGTGAACCGCCTGGGGGAGGAGAGTTCCAGGCCTAGGGAACAGCTCAAGGTGGGATGAGGAAGGTATGTTCCAGAAACAGCATGGACCCGTGG